ATCCTGGGGTACATCTTTGTCATTAAAACAGCACACATTTTAGGCTAGAAAACGTTTTAAGCCTAAATTTATTGAGAGAGCATTCCAGGCTTTCCAGGCTCCTGTCAAAATACATTTCTTCTCTACTGTCTCTGAGCCGCGTGCGAACCTTGCTAAGTAAAAATACGTTTGGACCCTGACATCGTGCGTCATCTAAATTAGGGGCTTTCTGCTTGTCACACCCAGGAATGAAGCTGTGCAGCCTTAACTAGGAACAGTGAAAGTCACGCCTTCATGTGTGTCGGAACCATGGACACTTTTCCGTGCTAATAACTAAAGCTCTGTTTTCACAGGAAAACGCTTCCCAGCTTCCAGCCTGTATCCCTCTGGGTCCCAGACGCAGATCGAAACCAAGAACCCCCGGGTCAACCTCCTGGTGAGCAAGTGGCAGCAAGTCTGGCTGCTGGCCCTGGAGAGGCGGAGGAAGCTTAATGACGCCCTGGACAGACTGGAGGAGGTTCGGAAACTCGGATATCTGCCCCCGGGTTGTCATTTGCCCTCGCCCGCCATAACGCACTGCCCACCTCTTGATGTTTCAGCGTTTCTGATAATCTGAGCGAACTCTTTGCTGTGCATATCTGGCTTCTGAAGTTAATGCAACAAGGGTGTATGTTTTTGTAGGGGGGAACAAAACTGATCTGTGGGACCTGGATTGAGGGAATCAAAGTGAAACACAAATATGTTTTAACATAATCAGAAATTAACTCCGTAGGAGAGTCTGGCTTGACGTACGTCTGCTGGCAGCATCGCCTGGCAACTGTGATCATTTATGATGCAGATCTTTTCATTGTGAATATTTTGTGACCCGAGGTGTAGGGTCTCTGATTCTGGAATTGGTAGGTTGTTAGAAGTAGGGGAGTTGAGGGTGGCTGGGGGCAGAGAGAGCCAGGCCTTAAATGGTGATGTTGAGCCGGGCCGGCCCCCCAGGGACCCAGTGCTGGTGTCACCTTGGGCCACACATTCGTGACCTCCGCATCGTCAAATTTCAGTTTAACTGTTTAAGGAGATTTCTTGGTTTTCCCTCTTTGTAAAGAAAAAACAGAGAGAGTAACAAAGTAATACTTTACAGGAAAAAAACCTTCAGGTCCCCTCTGCAAGATCATACGTCTCAATGAAGGAATGGTGCATATGTTATCTGGAGGATCATTAAACCTAACTTTACTCGTGTCGTACGAGATGTAATCTGCGCATCACGCTAACTCGGCCAAAATGCCTTTTTTCCTTTGCAGCTGAGGGAATTTGCAAACTTTGACTTTGATATCTGGCGCAAAAAGTACATGCGATGGATGAATCACAAGAAGTCCCGAGTGATGGACTTTTTCAGGAGGATCGACAAAGATCAGGATGGGAAAATAACTCGACAAGAATTTATTGACGGAATTCTTTCCTCAAGTAAGTCCCGAGAGAGGTGGCCGTGACTGATGTAATCTGTTAGGAAAACGAGTCCAGTTTAAAACTGTGGAGCCAGTAAACTTGTGTTACCAATGCAGCATCCTCTTTAAACTTGGCGATGAAGTCGCCACCCTCCAAAAAAAAAAAGCAGGGGCCGGGGTGGGGGTGGACCTTGGTTAAAATGTACGGCTTTGGAGTCAGGCACGCTTACTAATTGTGTAACCACAGATAAACTCCTCTTCTCTGGAGCTGTGTCCTCCTGTGGTGTCATGAGGCTAATAACGCTTAACTCTTAGGTGGTGTTGCCTGACATAAAATGGAGACTCAATAAATGCAAGTCAGACTCTTTTGTCTTCATTCTAGTTCACATTCTGATCTAGTGTTGTCACCAGTAGGAAATGAGAATGCTAGAAAAATACTTAAGGTTGCGTCGTCATCTTGTGTAACAGTTTCGCCGTGTGTCTGTGATTTCTCTGGCAGATGTTACTGGAAGCCATTCTTAAAGTCAGTTTCATATAGCTAGTCCCTGAGTGAAGTGGTAGTTGACCCGCATGAAATTTGCTAACATTAAATAGTTCTTTACCTAGAAAAAGAGCAGTTTCGTAAGATTCACCCTAATTCATAGTAATTCAAGATAAATTGAGGCCGCATATATATAGATAGTGGTTGTATTTGTATGATGTAAATCAGGGTTTTAGTTTTTAAGGACTTTAATTTATTTGATCATCCTAGTAACGTAACTGACCACACTAGGATTGAAATGTACAATCAAGAATGTCTTGGGTTAGAAGTAACAAGTTAATGCTACTTTCTCTTTTTCTAAACTTAAAATCTATTTTCAGATTTTATGGTAAGTATCTTACCTTTCACTGGGGCTCTGGGATGACCTTTGCTGAGAGAATATGTTAGTTATCACTTGTATGTGGAATCTCAACAAGAAGTCAAACTCACAGAAAGAAGAAAAGAGGTTGCCAGGGGCTGGGAGGTGGGGAAATGAGGGAGAGTCTGGTAAAAAGGTGCAGACTTTTAGCTCTAAGATGAGTAAGGTCTGAGGATCTAACATATAACATGGCGACTGTGGTTGACAGCACTGTCTTGTATAACTGAACTTTGCTGAGAGATTAGAATTTAAATACCAGCACTCACAAAAGAGAGTGAAAGGGAACTGTACAAGGTGATGGACGTCTTCATTAAATAGATGTGGGGGATCCCCCGATGATGGGTGCCTATAGCAAATTATTACCGTCATTCTTTGAATATCTTACAATTGTACGTGTCAGTGACACTTCAATGACACTGCTTCCTGTCGTTTGGAAAATGTCAGAGTTCCCGACCAGCCGTCTGGAGATGAGCGCGGTCGCAGACATCTTTGACCGCGACGGCGATGGGTACATCGACTACTATGAGTTTGTAGCCGCCCTTCACCCGAATAAGGATGCCTACAAACCCATCACGGATGCTGACAAAATTGAAGACGAGGTACCGATTCCCTTTCTACCACGTTTCAACGGTGACAGCGTGTCCTGCCCAAACATCGCGCACCATTCGTGCAGTTGTTTGGTGTCCCCGTTGAGTTGCTATGTCGAGGTTTTCAGGCTCCCACAAAGTCATGTTAAAGGGAACACCACCGTTTGTGTCTGGCAGGTGACGAGGCAGGTGGCTAAGTGCAAGTGTGCGAAACGATTCCAGGTGGAACAGATCGGAGACAACAAATACAGGGTAAGTTTTCAAAACAGCCGTGCAGTTCCTTCACAGGATAAAAATTGAGATTTGTATGCAGCAGTTCGAGCTGCATTGTTTCCCAGGAACGCTAATTCTTTATTTTTACCTTCTATCAGAATTTAATGATCTATGAAATTCCAACTTTTGTCATTTTAAGTGATACAAAGATAGCTTGTGTTTTGCACATCAGAACATCTCTCTGACACATACGTTACTTTTAAGGAGAAAATATTCACAGGAAGACACATCTTGTATATTCAGGGTCCTTCCTATTACTTTAATATATTTTACTGCGATTAGAGGTAAGTTCTTATATTTTCAATAACAAAGCTCTTCCAAGCCAGAAAATGAAGTTAAAATGTTGACTCATTTCTATAAATGTGAAAAGAGGCAGTGTTTTCCACTTTTGCAGAAATATTTAAAAAGTTAAATCTCCATAGCCCAGTGTCACCTTCAAAACAATTACTTGAAGACCCTTGTGGCTTTGTCCCTCTTTCTCTTTTTTCTTTTTTGGAACATCTCGTTTGTAGTAGGTGGATAGGAAATGTGCTGAGTTTCCTTCATACAGTATGTTACTTACAAATGAAACATTATTCATTTTCCTTTTATATTTCCCCATGAGACAATGTTCATCTGCCTAGTTGAATTTTTAACTTAAATTTGAAACGCAAAGAATTTCCAAAAAATCTGGGTAGCAAGTTTTCTGATTATTTGGTTTGAAGTTGGGAAAAGTGGGTACTCTGCACATCTCTAAACTGGATATTCTTATCCAGAAGCCCAAAGTGTGAGTGTGTGTGTGTTCTGGAGTCATATAGAAAGTTTCCTGTTGAACTAATTGTGTCTTTCTTCCATTTTTCATTTTTTTTTATCAGTTCTTCCTGGGAAATCAGGTATAAACCAGTGGAATGTATTCTCAAGTTCCCAATGATTTTTTTTTAACTTTAATTCATGGTCATCAAAGCTTGCCCTGGCCAATTTTCCCCGTGCTGTTCCCCCAGCTACTACCTTGTTGGTTGGCGTGGTGTTTCTGTAAACGCTCTAAGGGTCCTTGATCCTGGATTCCTTTCTGCCTTGTGTCTCAAATGAGGAGATTACCTTTAAGCAAACCAGATAATGAATTGTAGCTTGGCTACAAATGAACAGTATGACAAATGCCATTTTCAGTTCCTATTTTTAATAATACGATTCATGTAGATCTCAGGCGAGTACTCCTTGCAATGCAGATTTGATTGTCCACACGTCTCTTGGCAGCCTCGCTGGTGTTTAACCATCGAGGATGTACAGTGTGGGGTCAGGCAGGGAGAGACAGGGAGCATCTGGCAGAGTGACGTGGGAGGACACAGCCATGGGACGTCTCCACGACACTCGGCTTTAGTAATACGTTCTCCCCAAAGCAGCTGCTGCCCACTGGGGATGTAGGGCTTAGCATCCTGAGCAGAAAGTTCAACACTGGAGGTTTTCAGTGATGTCAGCTCCAGCTCCACATCACCTCTTGTAACATCTGTGCAATTTCAGTCACAACTTCCTGCCATTTTGACCTGCCATTTGAGCCAGTACCAACTGCGCAGGAGCACTGCCTCACGATCAGAATTCTAGAACTGAAGACAAGAGAAACCACCATGTTTAAACAAGAAGAGTTTTTGTTTTTTGGTTTTTTTAACACCACGCTTTTCGAAAGAACCATGCTATTCATAGCACCCGACCATATCATGTTGGATGTTACGCCCCCCACTCAGTTTTTAAGGCCATCTTCCATCTCAAGTTTCAAATCATCTCTTATCCTCATTGACTGCAAACAACTTGGGTTTTTCAAATAAAATTTTTCAGTTATTTTGAGTAGACGTTTTGAAAAACTTCTATTAGTTTCCATTAAGTTACTTTTCCAGCCGTGTTATTTTCTGAGTTAGTAGTTGGAACAGCATCTTTCGTTTATGGAAAGGGTGAAATACCTCAAAAGGTTTAATTCACTGAAAGCACAAAGAAGAGCCATAGGGTTTTGTTGTTGTTGTTTTTTGTCTCAGGATTTAGCTGTTGAGAAAATTAGGAAGATTCTGAAGACAGTGTTCATTGTCTAGAGAATGCCTCCTCAAAATAAAACTGAACATCATTCGCTTTTATGATATTTGAAATATCATGTGTAGAAGATAACTTATTTCCCTAAACTTTTTTGAACATAATCTTGGACCCAAAGTGTATCATCTAATTATCTGGTTCCTTAAGGGTAATTTTCTTTAACCCCCCTCCTTTCCCTTTGCTTATTAGCAGCACCAGATTTTTTTTTCTAACAAAATAAATCTGTATTTTGATTCTTAAATTTCAATGTACATTTCAAGAGCAGATTCAGATGCAGGAAAGCTTTAAGTCTGAAGGCTTAAAAGACTGTCTCAGAGGTAGCGGTATGAAAGGGTTTGACGTAAACACATGCAGACCCACTGTGCATTTTACATGCTTTCCAGGTCCTTCTGAGTTTCAAGGTCTGGGATGGTTGGCTTTGTTCTTTGCTTCTTCCTGAAACTCAGCGTTTAACTTTATGGAAAAGTAGCAGATTGGTTTTACTTAGTTTTCTGTTTCTCCATCGTGACACCAGACAGATAGTCACCACTGTATCTTACCTGCCTTAAAAAGAAGTTATTTATGTCTGATTGACTCTCTCTCTGCTCTGGTATCCACTGGGTTGGCAACCAGGAAATTCAGCATGGTGGTTTTTATAAGTGGGACTCAAGCTTATTAGAAATGATTTGAAAGTATAAAAATCATTTCTCATGGGCTTTCATAATAAATAACCCTTACGATCAGAAACCACATGCAGGCAAGACATTCATTCAAGACTTGCAGAACCTGTAGCAGGTCTGAGTGATGGATGATCCACTGAGAGGATAAGAAAAAGGCGTGCTTCTCAGTGTCGGCAGTTTTGGGACGCACAGCTTAGGAGAAAGCCTTTTAGATTTGAAAGCTCTAGATGTTATAATTATGTGTCAGTGACCGTTCTAATCTTACAGTAACTAAAACAGCACACTAATCCAGCCTTTAACAAATTAGTCCCCCAGATCATTAGTGATGCAGGAGTTTTATTTAACTGTGAAATCTCTGTTAGTCATGTTCATTTACTACTTTAAGTCAGAAGTGCTCAGAGAAACCAGAATGAGTTTCTGAAGATCTCTCCCATGGATTTCAGTGGCAGTTTTAGGTGTAAGAGGAAGTTCTAATGAAGAAGAATCAGACTTTGTTGCATTTCCTGTAGCATCATCTCATTCCTTAGACGCCCTGGGCAAGGGGGCCAGTGCTGCTTTTCAAGGCTGTGTCATTTCTAGAAACGTTTTTTTTGGTTACTGCCTTACGAATGTCATTTCTGTCAGGAGAAAGGAGGTCATTTTTAGAGGAGAGCTTCAGGATTACACGTGGTAACCCTCGTCCTTTTTTCAAACTCTGGGCTAAATCAGCATGCAGCCAATCTAACGCAGATCATCACAAACCCCTCTCTCCTGAGATTTTACTAATCGCTGTGAACTAAGCAAGAAGTTAGAGTGGGGTGCCTACGCAGATCGCACCTCCCGCTTGAGTTGAGAATTACCCTTGACAATTAGAGGCTCTTCTGTCTTCATCTTCACAGTTCGGAGACTCCCAGCAACTGCGACTTGTCCGAATCCTGCGAAGTACCGTGATGGTTCGGGTCGGAGGTGGATGGATGGCCCTGGATGAGTTCTTAGTGAAAAACGATCCTTGCAGGGGTAAGGAGATACTTGTGTCAAGATAATACCTCCGTGAAAATGGATCCGTTTTGTATTATTTTCCCAGCGTCAAAAACATACTGAGTCTAGTTTTGGTCCTTACAATGAGGGTCATTTCACGTGGGTCTGTCAGCCTGAAGTTCCCAGAGAACTTGTGGCAGTCATGTAAACCACGTTCCTCTCGTTGGTAAAATCCTGGAAAAATAGACTGGTAGGCAGGAAACACTAGAACAGATTTTTTTTCTTGATGAGATGGCCCCCGCCCTTGCAGTTTTCAAAAGGGGCAGTTGTACCAGCCAGGGAAAGTTCATGTGTCATTAAATAGCAAAGTTAAAAGGAAAGACAGTTGAGTGACAGGGATTGAAGAGACCGTATAATGAAAAGTGTAAAAGTGAACGTTTTTATGAAATTAGGGGGAGGTGAGGAGAGCGGTGTTTAAAATTTTTTAAAAAGTAGTAACAAAGTGATAACTTGACTCTTATTTTGAAGTCACAAGTTAGAGCATTAAAAATACGCACGTATAAGGTGGGAGGGTGTAGCTCAGTGGTAAAGCATGTGCTTAGCATGCACACGTCCTAGGTTCAATCCCCAGTGCCTCCATTAAAAAATAAATAAACCTAATTACCTCCCCCCCAAAAATAAAAATAAAACAAAAAATTATTTTAAATGCATGTGTACCACCACAGCTCTCAGGTATACTGGAGTGAGTTCCAGGCAGCCCGCCAGCCAGCCTCCTTGGCAGGGCCACCCACCCTGGGTGGTTACACACCCCTGCTCTCTGCCAAGTCACGGATACACCCACAAAAGGAGCAAAAAGAAAAAGGCTCCCTTTTGTTTTACATTTTGAAAACGATGCAGCTAAGATAGTGCAGTCCGATTAGTGAAACAAGCAAGTGAGCAGGCGCCGTGTCCCCCGGGGCTGCTCAGGGACATTAGCGTGACCGTGGCCAAGTCTCCCAAGTCCCTTTCTCTCCGCGAGCCGGACCTTTGGGTGCTGCCTTCCCCTCATGCGGCTCTTCTTCTAGTTGTGTGCTAAGGCCCGGGCCGAGCGACCTTCGCGTAGTCAGCTGCTCACTTTGTTTCTGCTCTTGCTAACAGTATTCTTGAATGTGACTGGTATCCTGTCATTTTTTCTAGTTCATCATCATGGGAGTAAAATGTTACGTTCGGAATCAAACTCTTCAATTACTACCACTCAGCCTACTCTAGGTTGGCGACCCCTCTCTTGGCCTCTCCCCTCTGACCTCTTCTCTTCCCCTCCGTTTACATCCTCGCTTTTAATCGTTTGTTTCACAATAACACGCTTCATCCATCGCGTATGGCTTAACTCACATCCAACTGAGCTGGTGCTTCCAAATTTCAGTGTCCGGAAATTTGACAGCCCTGCAGTGAGCGTGGCCAGTGCAGGGGTGGTGCGGTGACGAACCCGCGCTCGCACGCTGCTCGCCGCGTCCCGGGGGCAAGTCCTCCGCGTGCACGTGTGTCGGTCCGCGCGTTGCATCACCGATCCCCTCACGGATCCTTGGGTCTGGTGTTTGTGATTGCATGTTGTAAGACCAGAATTTTTAAGGCATCCAAAAAAAAAAATTATAGCTGCGCCCATATAAGTGACAAAGCTGAACGTTTTCGTGTGGTCCTTCTGATTAACAAACCATCTCTCGTTCTGTGCAATTGTATGGTAATTAACCCCATCGGTAAAATACTGGCCTTCCCCGCACCTCAGTAGGACATGCAAAAGACACAGCCCCAGCCTTACTGGCTTGTCCCCTCGGGGTGGGGACAGGGTGGCGAAACCGAGCAGGCATCCGCGGCGGGTGCATTAACAGTATCTGAGCATGAGCTTCTTTCTCATCGTCACGCTCGCTGACTCTTTAATAGTGGTTATCCTTGCTGGCGTCTAGTGTTAGAATAAACACAACTTTATTTTTTTTTCCCTCCCGGACTGACTTGTCGCCAAAAGGAATGCATTGTCCAGGAATGCATTTGATTTTTTTTGTTCCGCTGAGGGAGTTGGCATGGCAGAGAGGGTGTCCTTGGAACCCGCCCCGTGGTCTGTGCGGCCGGGTGGTGGGGGGGTCCCCCCGCCCGCGGCTGAGCGCCTGTCTCTCCCCCTTCTCTTTTTCTCTCGTCCGGGTGCCTTGTTGTGGGTGACGCCATGCAGCCAAAGGCAGGACCAACGTGGAGCTGCGAGAGAAGTTCATCCTGGCGGATGGAACCACTCAGGGCATGGCGGCCTTCCGACCCCGCGGCCGGAGATCGCGGCCCTCGTCGCGGGGAGCCTCGCCCAGCCGGTCGACGTCGGTGTCCGGCCAGGCGGCCTCCCCGCAGGCCCTGCCACCAGCACACCCAAGGTAGGCGTGCCTCCCGCCGCCCCCGAAGGCCCCAGCATCCTCGAGCTGGGGGACCCGCTTTCTCCAAATGCGCTCCTCCTCACAATGTGGCAAAGGAAGGATTTACAGTCTAGAGAGAGACCCACCTGGGGATTGTCTCCTTAGGGGCTTTGGTTACTTTTCAGATTGGTTTTTCTTTTTAAAGCTTCATTTCTTTCAATTTATTTTTTTATTTTTTTGTATTTTTGGCTATATATACAATTTGCCCTCTAAACCTTTCCATTTGATTTTTTTTTTTTTTGCATTATTAGTCTTCCCATGAAATGTGACTCTTGGCCATGAATGTCTCTCTCTGCTGCCTTGGTTGTCACCTGCTCTCCTTCACGTTTGTTTGATTTGCCGTTGTTCCATACAGATTCTCCATCCTTTAACACGCAATTACGGTAAACCGTGGTTGACCAACAGCAAAGGGTCACCTCCCTGTAAGCCAGCCGAGTGCTCAGACTTTACCGTGTCATCTGCAGAGGTATCGTAAGGCTCCAGTTTGCAGTCTAACCGCCTCCTTTAATCGAAGCAATCACCTACTAACACTGCTTCTTAATAAATGTACTTCTGATGGTACTGGGGCTTCTTACAGACTCTCCAAAATTAGTCTTGACCCAGCGTTTCCAGGAAGACACTAGAGGCAGGGGTGAACAGAGAAAACAGGTTATGGCTCTTTGGTGTCAGCTTAACGTAGACACACCTGCAGGCCCTGTACCTCCTTTGTTTTTTACCTCCTTTCTGTTTTTCCTCTTCCTCATATTTAATTTTGCTTCTCTGCCCTGGGAGAGTGCAGTACAGGAGATTATACCCAGACCTAAGCAATGTTTCTTTGAAAGGTGATGGTGTGCTTTGGCTTCTAGATACAATTTGGGCAAGAAATGTTACATAACCCCCTTGAGGGGAGAGAGGGAGGCCGTGTCATTTGCAAGACAATCGCTTAAATGAAAAGAATGTGTATTGAGTGTTCACTAAGGCCAAGGTCCTTCTGAATGTCTGGTTCATTTATTTCTGCCCCAGAAATGAGACATAATCTTTAAGTTATCAGTGCAGGGGTCGGGGATGCTGAGGGACGCAGAAAGTTATCTGTCATTTTCAAAAGGTACGTGTATCTTTATCATTCAGTCATGATTATCATTCAGTGTGCTCGGTTTTTTTTAATGGCTTATCTGTGGGGATGAGATACTTAGGTGATATAAGATTTGCCAGGATTAAGTCATGTATCAGATTATTTACATTCAGTTGAAAGTCAACCATACATTCTTTTAAAGAAATGTCTGTCAAATGACAGCCAAAGGCACCAAATAATCACATATTTGATTAGAATCACTGTGACTGGGGCTGGGAGGGGATCCCTAAATAAGATTTTTTTTCATTTAAGTATAGTCAATTATAATGTGTCGATTTCTGGTGTACAGCACAGTGTCCCAGTCATGCATATACATATGTATTCATTTTTTTATTAAAGGTTATTACAAGATTTTGAACATAGTTCCCTGTGCTATACAGAAGGAACTTTTTTAAAAAATCTACTTTTGTATCTAGTGGCTAACATTTGTAAATCTCAAACTCCCAAATTTACCCCTTCCCACCCCCTTCCCGGTAACCATACGATTATTTACTATGTCTTTGGGTCTATTTCTATTTTGTAGATGAGTTCATCATTTTAAACCGAGGAGGTGTTTTATATTAAAGCCAAGGCCCCTTTACCAAAGTAACATAGGACCTTTAGAAAGCCTTTTATGCTTTTCAGAACTCTTACATCCTGAATCCTCACACGGTCATGAGGTCAGCAGAGAAAAATGCCGTGGCCCTCATCTCTCAGACTGGGGTGATGGAACTGTTGCTGATGGTGGTAGAATTGGGGGCAGAAGCCCATTCTTCAACTCTCCCCCACCCCCTCCCCACCCCTTCAAGTGGGCGGTGTTAGCATCACGTTACCTCTGAGGTGTCCGTCACTTTTGTGGACCTGTTGTAGCCAAAACTGAGAACGGCTGACGGAACCTCGGGTGACATGTTTGTTTCAAATATCTACTCCACTGCCCTGTTAGTTCACATTTTTAACAAGTGGAAACTCCCCCAAATGAAAGGCTAAGTGTATTATTTTGGCTACTAGGTTTCATTTCAAATAGCCTCGTAAGACAAAACAAGAGTATAATTTTATTGTGACAATAAAAATCAGGGCAATCAAGGCAGCTGAAGAGAATGATTTTGGTCCTTTCGGATTACGGACTCTGCCCCCTCCTGTGATGTATTTCATACTGAGGGTCCTCACTCCCTCCTGCATGGTTGAGATTCTGAGTTAAGGATCCCATTGGGTCAGAGCGTTCAGATCTCGGGCAAATTACTCACCATCACGGGCCCTCACTTTTCACATTTGTGAAAAAGTGACTAGGTAAGTGTGAGGACTACTTGTGGTTAGATGTGTGAGAGTATCTTGAAAACTTAGACGGATACAAGTTCTATATAAATTCCATACTTAAATGTATATGTAAAATACATAAACAAATTATGAACATCGTTAATGTTATTAATTGCAACTCCGATGTGTACGAAAGGTCTTACATATGTTTTATTAAACATTTAAAACTATTTAATAAGGAAATTATTTTTTTAAATGCATATATAATTTGTATAGATTTATTTCCTCTAAATTCTGACTGCGAGTTCGAAGAATGTGACATCCTTTTACTTCTCAGGGGATCTGTTTATTTTTTTTAACTTTGGGAGAATTTTCCATATGTTAATAGTGATCCAGAAAAAGTACAGTGATTTTAGCCTCATAATGAAACTTCACGGATGGGATTTTAGACATTTCTCTACAAACTCCCGTAAGAATTTTTTAAAGACTCACCCCTAAATGTTGCCTAGGTATCTAGTGTATAAGGACCCCGGAAGGTGACAGATTCAAGAGACGAAGGGACATCCTACCAAGTTATAAAATGCCACTTTTGGGGGCGGGGCAGTTATGTTTGTTTAAACGATGACACCCCTGTTTCTTTGTTCATGTCTGTCTAGCTCTAAAAGCGCTGCAGGCAGCAGGGTAGCCCAGCACAGTTTTTCTCTCTGTACCATGCGGTCACCACCATCTTTCTGGCTGTACGCTCTTAACTCTGTGTAATATCCACCGGCAATCTGAAAGATACTAATGTACTCACAGTTTGTCTGTTTTGTTTTCCTGGGGAGGATCTCCATTTTTGTGTTTTCTCTTCAGCCTGAATTCATTCCCTTTAGAAGGTCCCCTTTGAATTCAGGGAGAGAGCGAGCACTTAGTGGAGAGAAAAAAGCAAGTGGGAACCCCATGTCTCGTCTGCCTGCAAGGCTTCTCCCCTCCACCTCCCGCGTGTCTGCCGGAGGCCTCCGCCCGTCTGTGCAGGGCTGTCGGTGGAGAATCATGGGCCGGGAACAGTACCCTGAGGTGCCGTTTCTCTGATTCAATGCAGGGAACACCCATCCAAGGAAGCAAGCTTCGACTTCCGGGATATTTATCAGGGAAGGGTTTCCACTCCGGGGAGGACAGCGGCCTGATCACCACGGCAGCCGCCCGAGTGCGGACCCAGTTTGCTGGTGAGTGTGGGGTCTTCCTTCCTTAGTGGCTGTGTGGTGCGGTCTGAAAATTCCGGTCCCATTTCCTCCTTGGGGGAGCTGTCGCCGATCGAGGCCACTGTGTTCCTCTGAAATGATCAGTAGTCCCGGCCCTCCATCCGCATGAGTCATTGGCATCAGTGACTCGAAAAATCCCTTTTGGGTTTTTTGGGGGGTTTTTTTTTTGGAGGAGGAGGGATTAAGTTTATTTATTTGCTTTGTTTATTTTTAATGAAAGTACTGGGGATTGAACCCAGGCCCTCATGCATGCTAAGTACGCACTCTACCACTGAGCCACACCCTCCCCTCGAAATCCCTTTTGGAAAGTCCCAAAGAAAGATGACAAGAGTGATGACAGAGTGACCCCAGAACAGAAGGAAGACTCCAGCAGGACCCAGCCCTTCAGGCTGGAAGGTCTGACCTCTTCTGTCTGCTTGGAAATTGCACTGAGCTCTATCTCAGGTGGCTGGAAGACCCGGCCACACTGGCCCGGACCCCAGTGCTTCTGAGAGTTCTTCACAGAGAGGGGAACCGTCCCCCCCAGGGTTCTGAGGGCAGCAGGCAAGAAGCTTCTTCAGAGTTCCAGGTCCTCGCTCTGAAATCCCGTTGTGTTTTGAATTGCTTATCCTCAGGCTCTGCACACTTCCCTGAGTGACACATGCTCAGCTTTGGAAATCGTTTTCAAAAAACTGTAAAAGTATACTTATACACGGAGGTACACACTCCGTAGACAGAGTGTAGACGGTCTCAGAAGGCCAGAGGGGCAGCCTGGAAAGCAGTCTACACGATCCGTCCGTGTGGCCAGCAAAGTTCCGTTCTAAGTGGGGTAGCCCCAGACGCGCGTCCCTGTTTGCAAATCTGGCTGTTGGTGTATTTTGTCTACTTAAGTAGAGGCTCCTTACTGCCTCCTTGAACCCATGAGGATGTCCTGAGTGCCTCCTGTGAGTCCTGCAGAATTGTTGAGATTCAGCGTGGCACCGGGCTTCCAGAGTCCACTGCAGGTGGATCCCGGTCTCAAGGGTGACCCCCTTTTCTGCCCTCTCCTCAGATCCCAAGAGGACCCCCAGCCGCCCAGGAAGCAAAGCCGGCAGCCGGGCTGGCAGTCGGGCCGGCAGCCGGACCAGCAGCCGCCGAGGCAGTGACGCATCAGACTTTGACATTTCGGAAATCCAGTCCGTGTGCTCGGACGTGGAGGCCACCCCGCCGACACACAGGCCCACACCCCGGGCAAGCGCCCGGCCGTCCACGGGCAAGCCTTCCAGAATCCCCACGCCCCAGAGGAAGCCAGCTGCCGGCAAACTGGACAAGTCCTCCAAGAGATAGTGCAGTTGCTTCCACCGCGGCCCCTTCCTTGAGCGTTTAATATTTAAAAGTGTGAAAGATGTACAATATGCTGTAGAAATTATTGTGAAATATTGCCAAGAGGTGAGTTTAAAATTCTGCGGATGGCCTTATTTGTGTATTGGTCTTTTTATTTTATCTGTATAATTTTTGGTCCGATGTTCTGGGGAGAAAGCCGCATCCCGGGCGAGGGGGGAGCACGTTCACGACACGCACTGTCATTTCTGCACTGGAACGTGTGGCGCACACGCTAGGATCAGTCACCGCACCTGCAGGTAAGTCCACCTCCTCTCCGACAGCACTCCAGCCGAGTGCCTGACGTTAAGGATACCTCATGACACGTTCTTGCTTTTCTGGAAACTGAAAAGCCCAAAGACACCCACAGGGATACATGTATATGTATATATATTCCGAGATGACTTACTTAAGTGTAAACTGAAAGATGGGAGGTGGGGGGCAAAAAGACAAACACACCCACCACAGTTCTTACCGTCCTATCTGACAGACACAGAACTCACAGAAGTTCCTTTAAGCACCTGCGAACGCCAGGCGATTCCAAGACTTTTGCCACGTTTCTGTGCCGTTGCTTGACACGAGGCCAGAGACGTCCCGGACATTAGACCTGTTACCCTGTAAGAATATCGTGATAAAGTGCACTCATATAAATGTGAGGTTTTCTTTTGCTTGAGTGGACAGTAGCACCCGTATCATTGAACTCATTTTTGTATCGGAGCAATTTTGCTTGCAGAAAGCTATGAAATAAAACATGTCCCCTAACTACATTGCGATCGAATTAATCCCCCCCACCCCATCCCTGCCCCAGGGAAAAAATCAGTGTATTTTTTTATGAGCAATATCAATTTGGAGTGACCAAAAGAGACTTAAAAATGGGTTTATTTTGATTTCTCATCTGAAATAATCATGTTCTGGTATTATATCTATATTTAATAAATATATACATTTTAATTTATTATGTATACTCACATACTATAGAAAGATACTAGTATGCATTTAATAAAACATATTCACTGGAACATGTGCAATACCTGATTATTTAAAGTGAACTTTCTGTTTGTTGGTTCTAAGTAAAGGTTATATGTACAGTATCTTTTAAGTAACTGACAGGCTAAGTTTGGGGGACATGAAACAGGGATATAATATATAACATAAAAATAACATTAATCAATCAGTCATTCTACATTTTATTTTGGGGGGAAGGTCATTAGGTCTATTTATTAGTTTTTTTTTTTTTTTTAAGGCAGTACTGGGGATTGAACCCAGGACCTCGTGCATGCTAAGTGCATGCTCTACCACTGAGCTCTATCCGCCCCCCCCCATATTTTGGGCCAAGCTACTATTAGTGATCTTAAGTCTATACAGGGTCCTGGCCCTCTTATATTCAGGGGGAAAAGTTAATAAATCACTAAAGAAACATGAGGTGAAACCAGGGGATGTGTGACAGGTGCCTGGTTTTGTTAATGTAGTTATGTTATTCTGGCCTGCGTACATTTAAAAATCAAACGATAGAATTTTCTTAAAAATAAAAATGGCCTCAAATATAATTAGAAGGAAGGGAATGACTTCAGCTCAGCCTGCTTGAACCCTCCTCCCCCACCGCATTAAAGAGCTAGGGATCGCATTTTGGTGCAGCCATTATGGAAAACAGTATGGAGGTTCCTCAAAAGACTAAAAATAGACTTACCACATGATCCAGCAACCCCACTCCTGGGCATATATCCAGAGGAATCTTAATCCAAAAAGATACATGCACCCCAATGTTCACAGCAGAACTATTTACAATAGCCAAGACATGGAAACACATAAATGTCCATCGACAGATGACTGGATAAAGAAGCTGTAGTGCATTTATACAATGGAATACTACTCAGCCATAAAAAATAATAGAACAATGCCATTTGCAGCAACATGGATGGACCTAGAGATCGTCATTCTAAGTGAAGTAAGCCAGAAAGAGAAAGAACAATACCGTGTGATATCACTCATATGTGGAATCTAAAAAAAAAAAAAAAAAGACAAATGAACTTATTTACAAAACAGAAACAGACAGACATAGAAAACAAACTTATGGTGACTAGTGGGGAAGAGGGTGGTTAGGGATAAATTGGGAGTTTGATATTTGCAGATACTAATATATATAAAATAGATAAACAGCAATTTCATCCTGTATAGCACAGGGAACTATATTCAATATCTTGTGACTGTCATTTGGTCACCTGGAGGCATTTACAGAATTTGATTTTGGTTTGCTTTCCCAGGCCCCCAAGCCATTAGAGCCACTTGGGTCTAAAGGCTCCTTGTCTAATGAAGTAAACGGTTCTTCAGCATTAAGGAAGCCGAATCCTGCAATGGACTTTTTTGTCTTAAAATTTAAAACTACTCATTCTCACATATGGGTTACCTTCTTTTGAAAAAAATAGAGTGCAAAGTAGAGGGGCCCAGCTCAACCTCAGATCTGGTTCCTTTCACAGCACATCAGGGTGGAGGCGCTTGGGAAGTGCCCTGCTGGCCGTGGGGGATTGATCTATAAGACTGGAAAGGAAGGGAGGCTGAGGAAAGGTCATTTCCTTTCCAATTTTTTTTAAACTGAAGTATAGTCAGTTACACTGTGTCAATCTCTGGTGTACAGCATCACGTCCCAGTCATGCACATACATACATATATTCTTTTTTATTAAAGGTTGTTAACAAGATATTGAATATAGTTCCCTGTGCTCTACAGAAGAAATCTGGTTTTTTATCTATTTTTTTATATAGTGACTAACATTTGTAAATCTCTCAAACTCCCAAATTTAGCCCTTCCCACCCACTTTCCCTGGTAACCACAGTAAACAATGCTTTTTAATCATTTTAAAACCTGCTTTACATATTTGCAACAAAGGAAATTATAATGAGGTCCAGTTACTTACTACTTTGACAAAAGGCTCTGAAATGCACGTGCTTGTTTTGGTCAAAAAGTGCTCTGACGTCACCAACCATACACACACACGTGCCCAAGCTGCAGGGTGTGTCCGATGATGCGGCCAGCTGGCTGTGAACTTACCTCTGGGGGCCCACAAAGGAGGCAAGGATACTAACTTTATCTTTCATTCCTTTAGTAACTAAGTTCCCTTGAGTCCCTTGGGGTTGACTTGATGGCTACCAAAACCCACTTGGAAGTCAACAGAGTCGTGGATGAGTTGTGTATGCAAGTCACAGTTCGTATGACTATTGAAAATATCTGACCTACTCTGCCAAATTGTTCAGCTTTGGTTGATTTTATATAATTCTGGTGTCTGCGGAAATGCTGACTAACTAGCTAGCATGAAGGACAACAAAAATACAGGGTCTTTCTTCCTTGCTTCTACCGCCAATGTGCTGAATGAGGAACCTGTGCACAGCAAAATGTGTTCAAAGAAATTTTTACTTGTTTACCCACGCTTTTATGGTACCTCATCATTTGAAATGAAAGGGTGCAAAGGAGATGAGAATAAAAAGAGATTCAGAAGTTTCCAAAAGTTATCCTCGGGTCAAAACAAAACGTTCTTTGAGAATATTATTCATCTTAAGGTAGAGCTGTTTTTGCCCCAGGGCCAGGAAGTTTAGTTCCCACAGCCTGAGACCCTAACTTCTCTGCCAGTGGGCTCCACACTTCTTTGATGGCCTATTTCCATCAGTAAGAGTTTTCTGAGCAAACCCTGCCAATGGGTGTCTGTTGGATGTTTTTCACTAATTTCTCAAGGCTCAATATAATCTTAGAGTGAGATTTGTCTGTAACAACATTGTTGAAGGGTTATATACTTACTTCAAACAGTCTTGACAAGTTTTTGGCACCAGTCTGGTCAAAGCTGATGAGACCCTCCCTGGTTTAACTCACAACGTGGCTGGTGAAGGGCTTGTTCTAGAAGTGTCATTCTTCCGTTTTCTTGTTTGGTCCTTGCATTTTAAGTGCTGCCTTAAGTCTGTAGTTTATTTGCAGGGATCCATGGAAGCTACATTTTATAAAGATTGTTAAAAAGAGATAAAATCTATACATTTGTTGAGCATGACGTAGACAAAGCGCAGTCAACTGTACATGCCCAGAGCCAAGTGAGGAGCTGGGAGCTGTTGATTTTCCCACCCTGTTCTCCTGTGACCTGGGATGCAGCCCGTGAGAGGATGCTGTGGGTACCACCACAGGGCGCACCACTGTGGTCTGCAGGACGTCCTTGGAGGTTGATTCCCCCTCCTCCTCTTAGATGAAGTGAAAATAAAAATATAAGCAGACAGCTTGTTTTCTTCCCATGTCATCCTGTTTTGGTGATCACTGTTCTGCACTTTTCTTCTACCTCTTCTTGGCCATCATCTTCCCACAGGATGGAAGGATGCTATCAAGAATCCTACTTCCTCTGCTCCAATAATGAGCACACAGGAGCAGGTGTATGACCGAGAAGGACTCAGACTCGGGGCATTGTCTCAGGGTTGCAAGAATGTGAACTTTGGGAGCCCTCAGCATTTCGTTAAAAATGAGTCTCGGCTGGTCCGAGTCTGTATTAATTTTCATGGTGCTTATGGTAGTCTCCATGGAGAAATCAGTCATAGTCACCTACTAGGGAGGGGGACAGGGTGAAGAGCCTGCCTTTCAGCTGGGATTGGTTGTGCATCGAAGATTTAAGTAGATTGAGGGATGTGTGTGTGTGTAGAGCAGGAATCTGGCTTTTCATGAAGGCTTAAGTCTTAGGAATGTGGTATGTTGATAAATACCTATCAGATCTGACCGTGGGCATGAGTTGAAAATGGATTACCATCAGGACTACATTTCTGAAAGAATGGCCAACTTGGTAGAAAAACATACATGGTTTATATTTTTAATGGCTAGTGTCGAGAAGTTTGTTTCAACAACCACCAGTCAGTGATGTATGTTCTGGTTGACAAGTGAGTCACAAAATACCTACTTGACAGTTGACCAGTGAATTCAGGGGAACAGACTCAGTTTGAAGCAATGTCTTCAGATATAAAGCATAAACGTTACAATGATCATGGATTAATTTGGAATTGTTTCTCCTGGGAAAGCTTTTGCTTTTTTTTTTTTTTTTTAGGTACACTTGACTATGCCCAGATTGATTTTTTGAAGTCAGTTTTGGTTTACAAAGCTCTTCACACAAATATATGTCTTATATGAGGTTCCTAACCAGTTATTGAAACAGTAGATAAGTAGTATGTGAATTTTATGAAAAATTTAAACAAAGCTAGAGAGGTTGTTATTTGCCCAGGCTCACATAGCTAAAAATGACCGAGTAAATAAATATTTTCATGCTGAGACCAGTAATCATCCCAGTACACCTCACCATTACCCCAGGAACTCTGTGCTCCTGTCTGAGAAGGTGACTTCATGAGGACAGTGTGGTCATGACCTCTGAGGAACCACACCACATCTGCATTTTCCAGAGCCTCAAACTTCATCTCGAGATAGCTTTAGACTCTTCCTTTGGAGTGCTGGAAATGACTTGGCTTCCAAAACTACATTCGTTTTCCATTGTCTCATCAAATTATCTGCTTCCAAAAATGCAGTGACCTTCTAAAATTGGTTTGCTGAGTAAGATGGTCTGATTCGAGGCAGCTAATATTTAAACACCCTTTTCCTTCCAACCATTGCAAGATGTGTAATGAGTTCCCCTGTAAAGTTGCTTCATCACTTAGCTACCAAAGGGTCCCAATTCCTCCTGCTGCCACATAGGTATCCTGAACGGCTTCCTCAAATTAGACTTTGGAATATATTATATTTTGCTTAAGGTCACTAGTAATGTATGCAGATAAATGTTTGAACTCTTCAGTATGTGACGGTGCAGTGTTTCCAAAAATTTATTTCAGCTGTGGAGACATATGATGTGACCTAACCAAAAAAGGTGTAATAAAGACACATAAGGAATGATGTACTTTCAAGTTTTCCTGCTTCATTTTTGGTCAGTTTCACTATAGGGCTTTACAAGGTGGTCCTAGGCATGCGTCCTGATTCTGTCACTCAAATATAGTCCAAGTCATGTTCATACTTTCATACATGTGTTCTTTCACTCACTCTTACCTACCTCTGAATTTGTATCTTTTAATTTTTTTTTAATTGAAGTATAGTCAGTTACAATGTGTCAATTCCTGGTATATAGCACAACTTCCCAGTCATGCATATACATACATAGGTTCGTT